AAAACATGTGGCAGCATGCTTCCTAAAGATTGCAGCCTTGGAAATTCTGTTGAGCAGTTCTACTCTGTTTTCTAGAGTTACTATGAGTTGGAATTGACTCAGAGGCAACAGGTATGGTTTTATTACTCTAAGTACTTTAGATATTTTCTTTTTTTTTCTTTACAGTAACTCTATGAAATTGTTGTTATTAGTTTTTGTCTAGTCTAGTAAGCTCTGGTAGCATAATGCCTAAGGCACTGACTGCTAACCAGAAGGCTGGCGGTTCAAACCCACCAACCACTCCTCAGAAAGAAGGTTCTATAGTGATACCGCTTCAGAAACCCAAGGAGGGGTCACTACGAGTTGGATCCGACTCATCGGCACATAAAAACAACAACAATGAGGAAACTCAGGCCAAGAGGTTAAGAAAACTGCCCAAAGTTAACTAGTAAGTGGCAGAGCCAGGTTAACCCAAGCAGTCTGAGTGGATTTTTCTTATTTTCTTACAAGCTTAGCTATGCACCTAAAAATATGTTTATCAAATTATACCCAGCATTTCTAGGCATCTTGCAACAGAATATTTGGTTATCCTGTATTACCTATGCTACAAACAGAAGCCCTAACAACTGCTTTACATTTAAGTTTTATATTTTTAAATTATTTCAAAGAGGCTACTGCCTTATCTCAAGTATTTAAAAAATTATAACCTCAAATCTTTTTTTTTTTTTTTTTTACTTTGATTAGATGAAAACCACCACACAGCCCCATCTTCAAGATGCCTGTTCTAGTGGAGGACACAGTCAACAAATCAAAATAATACCATATGGACATTCTAACAGCTGTGTCTTAGTTATCTAGAGCTGCTGTAACAGAAATCCCCCAAGTGAATGCTTTAATGAACAGAAATTTATTTTCTCACAGTTTAGGAAGCTGCTGTTGTGTTGTTATGTACCACTAAGTCAGACCCAACTCATAGCGACCCCTCCTTGGGTTTCCATGGCAGTATAACTACAGAAGTGGATTGCCCAACCTTCCTTCTGAAGAGTGGCTGGTGGGTTTGAACCACCAGCCGTATGGTGAGCTGTCAAATGCCTCAGGCACTATGCTACCAGAGCTCCTGTTTAGGAGGCTAGAAGTCCAAATTCAGGGCACCAGTCCTAAAGGAAGACTCTGTCCACTCTGGGGAAAGGTCCTTGTGTCTTTTCAACGTCTATTCCTTGGCTCCTTGGCAATCTTCACCTGGTGTGACATCTCTTTTCCCCTACCTGTGCTTGCTTTCTTCTGTGCCTAATTTGCTTTTTTATATCTCAAAAGTGATTTCCTTAAAATACACTCTACATTGATATGGCTCATTACATAACAAGGAAATCCCAATATCAAATGAGGTATAAAGATTTACAACACAAACTTTTTGGGGACCCAATTCAATCTATGACACCCCTAGACCAGTGTGATTGGCGATCATGTGGCCTGTATCTTTCCCTCCATTTCTGCTTATTCCACTCTCTACATCTCCAAAGAGGTTGGCTGAAAACACATCTTACACCAATACCACATCATTAACATTACAAAGAAAAAACATTCCCAAATGGGATTACAGCCACACATATTAGGACTTAGCCCACTGCCACTGAGTGGATTCAGACTCATATAGCAACTCTATAGGACAAAACAGAACTGCCCCATAGGGTTTCCAAAGCTGTAAATCTCTGCAAAAGCATACTGCCTCATCACCCCCCTCCCACTAAGCAGCAGGTGGGTTTGAACCACCAACCTTTTGATTAGCAGCCAAATGCCTTAGCCCCTGCACCACCAGAGCTCCTTTATAGGATTTACAACACATATGTTTGGAGGAAGAAGCCCTGGTAGTACAGTGGTTACAGAGCTTGGCTGCTAACCAGAAGGTTGTGGTTGGAACCCACAAGCCACTCTGTGGCAGTCTGCTTCCATAAAGATTTGCAGCCTTGGAAACCCTATGGGCAGTTCTACCCTGTCCTATAGGTCGCTGTAAGTCAAAATCAACTTCACAGCAGTGGCGTAATTTTGGGAGGAATACAATTCAATCTATAAAAAGAAGTGATGTGTGAGACAAAGGTCCTACACAGAGCAGGCTGTAATCAACTGTACCACAAAGCATGGTCCAGAAAAACTTCACAGAGGAGATGATATTTATAATATTTCTTTTTCCAAAATGAAAATAACTTCATTTCTCTCCCTAATTAGAAAGATAGTGCTTGTTCCCTTTTAAACACTGGAACAATATAAAAGCTGTAAAGAAAAAAGTAAAAAAAGCAATCTACCTACACCCAAAAATAATCATTATTAACATTTTACTGAAGAGTGTACAAGTCAAAAAAGAGTTCTAGGGTTGAGTCAGCAATGTCTAGTAATATCTCCTCATTCTCATAGGGTTGCTATGAGTCAGAATCAACTAGATGTCAGTGGGTTTGGGTTGGGGTTAGTAGTAATATCCAGAATGAGCACAAGAAGTCATGTGTGTGTGTGTGTGTGTGTGTGTGTGTGTGTGTGTATATATATATATATATATATATAAAGTATATTTTATATGCATCTATGTTGAGAGATCTGGTGGCTTAGTGCCTAAGGCATATGACTGCTAATCAGAAGGCTGGAGGTTCAAACCCACCAGCCACTCCTTGGAAGGAAGACTGGGCAATCTACTTCTGTAGAGATACCGCCTCGGGAACCCAAGGAGGGGTAGCTATGAGTCAAATTGCCTCGATGGCAGTGAGTTTTTTGGTATGCATAAAGTATTCACATATTACAGTAATATGCCATATTGTTCTACACACAATTTTATAAAAAATATAATTTGTTTTTATATAAATTTTGGAAAATTGAAGTTTTAATTCCTGATTGAGTTCTTTCCTCCTTTTCTTAATCAATCTTACCAGAAGACTATTTCATTCATAGTTTCAAAGAACCAACAACAACAAAAAAAAACATGTATTTGGAAATTTAAAACATGTCTAAATAACTCATAGGTCAAAGATGAGATCATATTAGAAAATATTTAGAACTAAATAATAACAAAAATACAAACTTGTGGTTGCAGCTAAAACAAAAAACAGCAAATCCAGTGCCATCAAGTGACCCTAAAGGACACAGTAGAACTGTCCCATAGGACTTCCAAGGCTGTAAATGTTTACAAAAGCAGACTGCCATATCTTTCTTACAGAGTGGCTAGTGGGCTCAAACCACTGACCTTTCAGTTAGCAGCTGAGCATTTTAATCATTGCACCACCCTGGCTCCACTGCAGCTAAAGAAGTGAATAAAGGGACAGTACAGCTCTAAATTCAGAAGGAAGATGGGGCAATCTACTTCCGAAGTGATACTGCCTCGGAAACCCAAGGAGGGGTCGTTATGAGTCGGGTCCGACTCGACGGCACTTAACAACAACAACACAGCTCTAAATGAATGAGTTAAAACATTTGCCTAGTGAGTTGTAAAAGCTGTCAGCAGTCAAATATTATCTTAGTTATTAGTGCTGCTATAACAGAAACACCACAAGTGAGTGGCTTTAACAAAAAATTTATTTATTTTTATTGGCTAGAAGTTCAGTTCTGGGCATCGGCTCTAATGGAAGGCTTTCTATCTCTTTTGACTCTGGAGGAAGGTCCAGGTCTCTTCAGCTCCTATTCCTTCGCTCCCATGTGATCTTCATGTGGCATGGTTATCTAGTTCCCCCCATTTCTGGCTCCCTTAATCTGCTCCTTTTATATCTCAAAAGAGCTTGACTCAGAAAATGCCCTGCACAAGTACTTTCATTAACATAACAAAAAATATTCGCAAATAAGATCATAACCACAGGTATAGTGTTTATAATTGAAAACATATATTTTGGAGGTGCATAATTCAATCCTTAACAGCATTCAACTCAATAAAATAAGAAAATAATAAATAAGAAAAAATGCAAATAAGTAAACTCAAAGAAAGCAGAAGGAAATGAAGTAGAAATTAATGAGATAAAATACAGGGATGATCAGCAAAAGTATCAAAAGTTGATTCATTCAAAGTATGAATAAAATAGACAACCCTTTGGGGCACGATTGAAAAGATAAATATTGGGAATGGAAATATCAGCCAGAACTTCTATAAAATCATAACCAAGTATTATAAGCCTTAGACAAAATTATAAGTTTCCTAAAAAAAAAAAAAAAACTAACTTATTAAACGTTACTCAAGAAAATAAAAAAAGTAAATTGAATAGGCCTATAACTATTAAAGACATTGAAAGATACGACTATGAAACAGTTGTTAGCCCTTAACACTTTCCCTCTTTAGAGAGGGAATGCCGCAGTATCCTCTTACGCTTCAGTGGAGTTGGAGACATTCCAAATATCCCCACCCCGCTAAGGGGACTGAACTTCAGGGACACAATTAAAATGACTCACAGACTGCATAAGTTGAAATGGCTCTCTGCACAACGGGCCAACTCTTCCGATCAATTTATGTACTCAAGGCCATACCTTAACAACGTCTCAAAGATGGAATGCTGCCTCTCCTCCTCAACAGGAAGTCGGCGGTTTTTTCAAAAGGCTCGTCTTTGGAACTAGGTAAAACTAGCTGGTGTGACAAAGCAGCCTCAAAAAGATACAAAGTTTGAGCCCTGCTACAAAACCTGGGACCCACCTTAAATCCAAGAATTATCAACGATTAATACAAAACGCAGGTAAAGGACCTAGGATGGATTCAGACCAAAAAAATCTGTGGTACAAGGTAGGAAACTGTAACAGTGCCTGGGGGGCGGAGTGTTCACAGCACTCAGTGAACATTTGGAAAACTACCGGTTGCCTTTCTAATCCCGACCAGCATCTGCGTTGCAGAGTAAATGGCCCCTAGCCGCATTACGGCGTTTCTGACCCCGAGCCTCCGCGGGCTGGAAACCACAGTTCCGCCTTCCTCCTAGCAGAGCTAGGGCCGCCGCCCTCGTCCTGGCAGCGTCTCCAGTCCCCGCACCCCTGCCTACCCACAGGCCCGCGCCCCGGCAACGACCCACCTCCTCGGCGTCCTGGCCCAGGGGAATGCCCAGGCTCTTGAGGCCCTCGTGCAGCTCATGGATGTCCACCACTCCGTCCCCGTTGCGGTCCAGCTGCTGGAACAGGGTCTCGTAACGCGTGTGCGGCTGCGCGTCCTGGCAGGCCGCCACGGGCAGCACGAAGCCCCGTAGCCAGCGCAGCATGGTTCTGGCGGCGCGGGCAGCCCAGGGGAAGGAATCTTGGAGGCCGAGCGCGCTGCCGCCCTGACTATGAGCTCAAGAGCCGTGGGCAGCCGGGTCTGACCCGCGCAAAGGCTCCGCTGTGGCTGGGAGGGGCCGCGGCGGAACCGCCTTTGGGGCGTCTTCTGGGGCCAAGGTTCAGCTTCGCGCTCAGAGCGCAGGACAGAGACCCACCCGACCTCCGCTGGGTACTACGCAGGGTGTGGCGGCTCCCGCTGCTGTTCGGGGAGGAGCTCGCCCTGCGCCGGCCTTCGCTAGGCGGTCGGAGGGACGGGCTTGGCACCGCCTACCGCAGTGAAAAGGCACCGGAGTGGGACTCGGGTCCCTGGGGAGTTTAAAGAGTTGTGGGGGCCGTGGCGCGAATTTTGCTCCTTCTGCCGTCCAGGGTACTAATACCAGAAGGAAGTCCCCAGACAGTCGTGGGTTTCAGCGTAACAAAGCAGCTTCAAAGAGGTGCAAGGTATGAGCCCTTTTACAGAACTTGAGATCCATCAAAACCTGAGAACAACTATTGATTAAATGTTTGCGAAGGCACAAAACTAAGGTGAAGAACTTGGAATAAATTCAGACAAATAGTGTTTACGTGCTTGCTGGGTTAGGGGGGTTGCCTAAAGTCTTTTCGCTCGTCTTAAAGATCTCTTAGCCACCCTTCCGACTTGGCAATTTGGCAAACTGCTCAGAGATGGACAGTTTTCTTGGTTTAGAAACTGGGCCACGTAGGGCTTGTCTCACATGGATCTCTTTTCCGTGTTCCTCTGTAAGACTTCTCTGGGCCAGTTTGCCAGTCATAAAAATGAGGGACTAGGGTTAGATGGAAGGAGCTCTCATGGTGCAGTGGTTAAGGGATTTAGCTACTAACCAAAAGATCGGAGTTTGTAACCCACCAGCTGCTCTGCTTAAAGACTAACAGCTTTGGAAACCCAATGGGGGTGGCCATGAATTGGAATCGACTGGAGGGCAATGACTCTGGTTTTTGTGGTGGGTTAGATGGTATCTAAAACCGAGTGGTTTTAGATTCTGTGGTTGCACACCTTGGATGGTAGTTCTTTAAGGCACAGAGGACTTGCATCTGAAAGCATTCATTAAAAGGCCTTTTGCAGGAAACTCATGATGACCCTTCACCACTTGTCTGTCTGTCCTACTGTGGTGGCTTGCATGTTGCAGTGAGGCTGGAGGCTATGCCACCAGTATTTCAAATGCCAGCAGGGTTGCCCATGGTGGACAGGATTCAGCAGAGCTTCCAGCCTCAGACTAGGAAGAAGGGACCACTCATTTCTCAAAGAATTGGCCAGTGAAAACCTTATGAATAGCAGTGAAACACTGTCTGCTATAGTACTGGAAAACTTGATGAATAGCCCTGAAACATTGCCTGATATAGTGCTGGAAGATGAGCCCCTCAGGTTGGGAGGCACTCAAAATACCACTAGGGAAGAGCTGCCTCCTCAAAGAAGAGTCAACCTTAATGACATGGATGGAATAAAGTTTTAGGGACCTCCATTTGCTGATGTAGCACAACTCAAAATGGGAAGAAACAGCTGTGAACATCCATTAATAATCAACAGCTCTGGTAGTGTAGTGCCTAAACACGGAATGTACGAAGTAGGAATCTAGGAAACTTGGAAGTTGTCAAAAATGAAATGGAATGCATAAAGATCTATATCCTAGGCATTTGTAAGCTGAAATTGACTGGTTTGGGCCATTTTAAATCAGGCAATCATATGATCTACTTTGCCGGGTGTTCTGGTTACCTAGTGCCGCTCTGACAAGAATATACCACAAATGGGATAGCCTTGACAAGCAGGAGTTTATTCTCTCAGAGTTTGAAGGCTTTAAGTCCAAGTTCAAAGTGTCAGGCTCTAGGGGCTGGGTGAAAGCCCCACAACCTTGGGGTCCAACTTTGCCTCCTGTTCCCGGCCCACTGGAGCTAGAGGCGTTTCTTCACTCAGACAGCTGCTAGCTGCTGAGGCTGAGAAGCCCCAAGGTTGCCAAATAAAAAGGCACAGTCCCAATGTTACCAAACCACATGGCAGGCCATTAACTTAAGCCCATTGTAAGTCCCAAGGTCGGCAGAGCATAGCAGGCTGCTGAGCAACGACATGGCTACCTGCAGGGTCCAAGTGTGCCATAAGCTAGAGACCATTCTCAAAGCTTCTCCTTATAAACAGGAAGCAGACCACATACCCAAAGGCAGCTACTCAGCTGCTTGTGGTAGATCCCACCATGGAGTTGATTGCCAGTCTCATCATGGGGAATAACTACCACCAGCTGCCCAGCCACTCAACCAGGCCCAGACAAGTTGACACACAAACATAACTACCACACCAGGAATGACAAATTGTGGTGTGTCATTGATCATCACAAGAAATGTTTCAAGATCTATCCTGAAGTACTATGCTGCCAGTGATAGGATAATATCCATACAGCTACAAGGAAGAACAGTCAATACTACTATTATTCAAATTTACACACCAACCGTCAAAGCCAAAGATGAGGATATTGAAGATTTTTACCAACTTCTGCAGTCTGAAATTGAGCAAACATGCAATCAAGATGTGTTGTTTATTACTGGTGACTGGAATGCAAAAGTTGGAAACAAAGAAGAATCACCAGTAGTTGGAAAATACGGCCTTGGGATAGAATGATGCCAGAGAGCACATGATAGAATTTTGCAAGACCAATGACTTATTCATTGCAAATACCTTTTTCAACAACATAAATGGCAGCTATACACATGGACCTCGCCAGATGGAGTACACAGGAATCAAATCTACTACATCTGTGGAAAGAGGTGACAGAGAAGATCAATCTCTTCAGCCAAAACAAGGACAGGAGCTGACTGTGGAACAGACCATCAACTGCTCATATGCAAATTCAACTTGAAGTTAAAGACAATTAAAACAAGTCCACAACAGCCAAAATATGGCCTTGATTATATCCCTCCTGGATTTAGAAACTGTGGTAGTTTGGTTTGTGTGTCAACTTGGCTAGGGCTGGTTGAGTGGCTGGGCAGCTGGTGGTAGTTAATCCCCATGAGGAGACTGGCAATCAACTCCATGGTAGGATCTACCACAAGCAGCTGGGTATCTGCCTTTGGGTATGTAGTCTGCTTCCTGTATATAAGAGAAGCCTTTAGCACACTTGGACCCTGCATGTAGTCGTGTCATTGCTCAGCACCTGCTATGCTCTGCCGACCTTGGGACTTACAATGGGCTTAAGTTAATGGCCTGCCATGTGGTTTGGTAACATCGGGACTGTGCCTTTTTACTTGGCAACCTTGGGGCTTCTCAGCCTCAGCAGCTAGCAGCTGTCTGAGTGAAGAAATGCCTCTAGCTCCAGTAGGCCGGGAACAGGAGGCAAAGTTGGACCCCAAGGTTGTGGGGCTTTCACCCAGCCCCTAGAGCCTGACAGTTTGAACTTGGACTTAAAGCCTCCAAATTATAAAAATAAACTCCTGTTTGTTAAGGCCATCCCATTTGTGGTGTATTCCTGTCAGAGCGGCACTAGATAACCAGAACAGATCCACCTAAAGAAGAGATTTGATGCATTGAACACCAATGACTGAAAACCAGATGAATTATGGGATGGCATCAAGAACATCATCCATGAAGAAAAAGGTCATTAAAAAGACAGGAAAGGAAGAAAAGACCAAAATGGATGTCAGAAGAGACTCTGAAACTTACTTTTGAATGAAGAGTAGCTAAAGCAAATGGAAGAAATTACAAGCTAAAAGAGTTGAACAGAAGATTTCAAAGAGCTTGAGAAGCAAAGTCAATTATAATGAAGTTAGATTATAATGGAGTTAGAAAACCAAAAGGGAAGAAGTCACTCCGCATTTCTCAAGCTGAAAGAACTGAAGAAAAATTCAAACCTTGAGTTGCAATATTGAAAGATTCTATAGGCAAAATATTATAATGCAGGAAACATCAAAAGAAGATGAAAGGAATACACAGAGTCACTGTACCAAAAAAAATTGCTCAATGTTCATCCATTTCAGGAGGTGGCTTATGTTCAAGAACCAATTTGTACTGAAATAAGAAGTTGAAGCTGCACTGAAGGAAATGGTTTAAAAAAAAAAAAAAAAAAAAAAGCCTCCAGGAATTGAAGGGGATACTCATTGAGTCATTGAGATGTTTCAACAAATGGATGCTGCGCTGGAGGTACTTACTTGTCTATGCCAAGTAATTTGGAAGACCTTGCCAACTGACTGGAAGAGATCCATATTTGTACCCATTGCAAAGAAAGGTGATCCCACAGACTGTGCAAATTATTGAATAATATTAATATCACACACAAGCAAAATCTTGCTGAAGATAATTCAAAAATGGTTGAAACAATATATTAACTTCCAGAAATGCAAGCTGGATTCAGAAGAGGATGTGAAATGAGAGATATCATTGCTGATGTCAGATGGATCTTAGCAGAAAGCAAAGAATACCAGAAAGATGTTTCCTTGTGTTTTATTGACTGTGCAAAGGCATTCAACTGTGTGGATCATAACAAATTATGGATAACATTATAATGGATGGAAATTCCAGAACATTTAACTGTGCTCATGAGGAACCTGTTCATAGACCAGGAGGCTGTCATTCAAATAGAACAAGGGTATACAGCATGGTTTAAAATCAGGAAGGGAGTGTGTCAGGGTTGTATGCTTTTACCATACTTATTCAATCTGTATGTTAAGCAAATAATCCAAAAAGCCAGATTATATGAAGAAGAACACAACATGAGGACTGGAGGAAGACTTATTAACAACCTGCAATATGCAAATCACACAACCTTGCTTGCTCAAAGTGAAGATGACTTGAAGCACTTACTGATGAAGATTCAAGGCTACAGTATGCAGGATGGATTACACCATAAAGAAAATAAAAATCCTCACAACTGGTCCAATAACCAGCATCACGATAAATGGAGAGAAGATTTAAGTTGTCAAAGATTTCATATTACTTGGATCCACAATCAACACCAATGGAAGCAGCAGACAAGATATCAGACCACATATAGCAC